TAATTAGAGAAATGAAAATAAAAACTACAATGAGGTATCACCTCACACGGGTCAGAATAGCCATCATCAAAAAATCTACAAACAATAAATGCTGGAGAGAGTGTGGAGAAAAGGGAACCCTCTTGCACTGTTGGTGGGAATGTAAATTGATACAGCCACTATGGAGAACAGTATGGAGGTTCCTTAAAAAACTAAAAATAGAACTACCATATGACCCAGCAATCCCACTACTGGGCACATACCCTGAGAAAACCATAATTCAAAAAGAGTCATGCACCACAATGTTCATTGTAGCTCTATTTACAATAGCCAGGACATGGAAGCAACCTAAGTGTCCATCGACAGATGAATGGATAAAAAAGATGTGGCACATATATACAATGGAATATTACTCAGCCATAAAAAGAAATGAAATCGAGTTATTTGTAGTGAGGTGGATGGACCTAGAGTCTGTCATACAGAGTGAAGTAAGTCAGAAAGAGAAAAACAAATACCGTATGCTAACACATATATATGGAATCTAAAAAAAAAAAAAATGGTCATAAAGAACCTAGAGGCAGGACGGAAATAAAGACACAGACCTACTAGAGAATGGACTTGAGGATATGGGGAGGGGGAAGGGTAAGCTGTGACAAAGTGAGAGAGTGGCATGGACATATATACACTACCAAACGTAAAATAGATAGCTAGTGGGAAGCAGCCGCATAGCACAGGGAGATCAGCTCTGTGCTTTGTGACCACCTAGAGGGATGGGATAGGGAGCGTGGGAGGGAGGGAGACACAAGAAGGAAGAGATATGGGGATATATGTATATGTACAGCTGATTCACTTTGTTATACAGCAGAAACTAACACACCATTAAGCAATTATACTCCAATAAAGATGTTAAAAAAAAAATGGGCACAGGTTCGTGGTGCCCCAAAACAATTACAATAGTAACATCAAAGATCACAGATCACAGATCACAACAAATATAATTATAATGAAAAAGTTTGAATTATTGTGAGAATTACCTAAACGTGACACAGAGACATGGAATGAGCAAATGCTGTTGGAAAAATTGTTCCAATAGAATTACTTGACGCAGGGTTGCCACAAACTTTCAATTTGTAAAAAGCACAGTATCTGCAAAGCGCAATTAAGCAAAGCACAATAAAATGAGGTATGCCTGTATACGTTATGCTTTATACACTGCAGTATTCAAGGCTCAAATTGTCCCAAATTTGGCCAATGTGAACTCCTTGAAGTTGACCCCTGTATCCACACAACCCCAGTGGTATTGAAAGCATTCCTGCTTTCTGGCATAGCAAGAGGTATCAAGCTCATCTGGTATATTTCCTGCCCTGGACCTAGAATCAGCCATTCTTTTCAAGGAGCCCTTCTTCCTTTTGTTGGTAAATGGCTTTCAGAGACTATGATCAGCACTGGGGATGCTCACTTCTACCAGACTGTCATTATTATTTCTATGCCCTCTCAGTAAATAAAGCTAGGAAATATGTGAATTTCAGAAAGAAAACTAAATCATGCATTCATATGGATATTTCCAATTTAAGTGAACAGTTAAATCATCAATTATTATATTTGTATCCCTTTGCTTTCACACTGAAAATCTTGGTTTTAATGACATTAACATGATTGCGTATTTGCTTATGCATATACATAAACATATACATATATAATGTATATTATGCATAAAATAGTTTCAAAGCTACAAGACTAGTATTACTACTAACAACAGAACTATCAATTGTGGGACTTCCCTGGTGGTCCAGTGGTTAGGATTCCAAGCTTTCACTTGCATGCTTTCACTTGAACAAGCTGTGTGGTCAAAAAAAAAAAAAAGAACTATGAATTGCAACTGAATATTTCATTGTGGTTCTTTTTGCTCTTTAGGATATACCTCACCATGGAGGTCCATTAAAAGTTTGAATTTTTTGTTTTTTGGGTTTTTTTTGCAGTACGCGGGCCTCTCACTGTTGTGGCCTCTCCTGTTGCAGAGCACAGGCTCCGGACGCGCAGGCTCAGCAGCCATGGCTCACGGGCCCAGCCGCTCCGCGGCATGTGGGATCTTCCCGGACCAGGGCACGAACCCGTGTCCCCTGCACCGGCAGGCGGACTCTCAACCACTGCGCCACCAGGGAAGCCCAAAAGTTTGAGTTTTAATGTCATTTGAAATAATTGTTTTTTTCTGTGTGGTTTATACTATCAATTTTATATACTCCTAGGTTGTGGTATATACTATCGATTTTATATACTCCTAGGTTCATTTGTATCCATTTGTTTCAGATTTGTAGGAGTTTTTTTCCTTTTTGATCCAAATTTTTTAATTATATGAAATGTTCACTTGTTCCAAAATCAAAACTATAAAACAAGGTGCAGTCAGAGAAGCTTTTTAAACACTTTATCCCTCCTTTTCACAATAAAGGTGTTTTTTAAGGTTATGAAATTGGACTGAATTGTTAAAGAGAACCTGATACCAGAGAGAGATTCAACAGAGTGCATTGTTAGTAACAGTTACGGGGGGAAATTACATGTTAATGAAATAAGCCTTATTCAAATCAGTAAACATGTTATAGATCCAAAATAAATTTTACATACACACACACAAAAAAGAAGAGACCAGGCAAGAAAATATGGTGGAATGAACAAGTACTGGAGATGGTGAGAAGGGAATAAATTGTAAAAATACTAAGGAAATAGGATAGAATTTGACAACCAATCAAAGAATAGAGAGGAAGATAGTTTTCAAAAGAGCAGATTCTTGATTTGTACTTTAATTTTGGCCATATTAAAAAGGTAGAAGTACTCAGAAGGTACCAACTGCTTAGTACTCAGAATAGAATGTTCTTTGCACATCTAATCAGTGAGTCCAAATTAATTCCCCATTTTAGTAACAGTTTTAATTTTGGAGTTTCTTTAATGCATCTTTACACATTTTATTACAGTCCAGGTAACCTAAAGTCATATAACCACTTTTTAAAATTAACTATATTCCTATCTAAAGATGTCACAGAACTTTCCCCATTTAGTGAGATTTCAATACTATTAGTGTTCAGCTCACATAGCTTTCTATCCTTATAATTTCTTTGAATATTGTTACCTAATATTTTATAACCCACTGGTTATAGTCATTCCACCAAGAACAAGGTGATTTTAAAACTTTAACAATCATATAAATATGCGTTTCACTGCCTTTTCCAACTTATACATTGCCTTCACCTAATTGTCTTGTTTGATCTTCCCAACTACCCTCTTAGGTAAGAAGAGCAGAAATACTTATTACCATACTACAGATGAGAAAATCAAGTCACAAGGCAGATAAATGGCTTTCCAAAGAATATGTGGCTGGCAAGTGGCAGAGCTTTAAATAAAATATAAATTTTCTGATTCCTAGGCCAGTGCTCTACCTACCATCCCATATGTTTTTGAAGTAATACATATTTAACTTCAGCCACTTTGCATGACTGCCTTGCCTAAATAAATAGGAAGGTGATTATCTATCGCATTTTCCTCTCTTGCATTCACCCATTTCCCCTGAAATGTTTTACTTAAAACCTTCTCTACCAGTTTATACCATCAACAGTCCAATGCCATTCTGTTTCAGAAATTTATCTTTTCTATATCAAGTTTACCTCTACTAAAACTATCCTGCATTACTATCATATTCACGAACTGAGAGACTTTGGAAATTTTTTAAGATTCTTGGAATGGTAATAGTAATACATCAAAGATTAGAGAATCAGGGCCTAAGTTCCCTGCTTAGCAGTTCAAATTTGGCCTTTAGGACCCTTTCACATATTTGCCTCATGACCACTGTTAAGCTCCTCCCTAATCTGACAAAATATCTATTATTTCAAAGTGAGGACAAAATTGTATACAACTTTGTATACAAAATTGTATTGTATACGAATTTCACAGGGTAGATTAGAATTAAATCTGTTTATCTAACCTAATTCTAAATAAACTTGCTTTTATGTAATCTATAATATTTTAGTAATTATAGATTTGTTTTTATAATGACCCTACTGGGAACAGAGATTAAGGGAATAATTGAAACTTATCCCATGACACATAATCTGTTTACTACAAAAATAATTTTAATAATTTCAAAAAAATTTGTGTTGAATTACTGAAAAATTTAATACTTAATTTCAAAAATTTACTATTTCTTCTCATGTATTCAAACACATTTATAAAACTATATTCATCTGCATCATATGAATGACTTGGTAACTTTCTTACTGCACATGACACGTCAAAAGCACATTCTTAGGCCACCCCCCAAAAAAGGACAATACAAATTATAAATCACTTGATGTCAGAAAATAAAACAATTATCTCTATATATTAACACAATGCTTGTTTTGTAAATTCTCATCTCTCCCCATCAGAAACTCTTTCTTTTGCTTATTTATTAGAAGTTCAATATTAAAGTATAATTACCGAAAATGCTTCCTCACTAAACCAGAACACAGGCTATTTTTGCGTTCTTACAAGTATTAAGCCCATAGCGTTTGTTTGTTTGTTTATTAAGAATTTAAGAATCTGGGTGTGTTTTTATTCAGAATTTTAAACACTGCCACTAGATATTTTAAAATGGACATATTCATCTAGCTCTTATCCACTTAATTCTAGCAACATCTTAATAGCTTTAATCATTTTATACTGAACAGTGAAATAAAATTAGTTTCTCTGAATGACAGAATGGGATTAACTATTTATACATAAATATTAAATTTAAAAAGTAGTCCATTAATGGGCCTTAATATTATCTTGCAGAGTCTACTTTTTATGTTTGCTTATTTCCCTCTTAAACTATCATTGCTTTTTAAGTTGATGCTTGGAATATCTTAATTCAAACTGACCTACCCACAAAATTCTCTGCACCAGACTCTCTGATACTGGCATCTCAACAATTTCCAGTCCCTGGAGTGTTTTAATTCTTTCCTCACAGTAGTAAAATAAAGAAATAATAAGCTTTAAGCCAATTCAAAACTTACCTTACAAATCTGGAAATAGTCTGAAGTCAAGGTTTCCTGAATCTCCTCTCTGAGAACCCCTGCAGTCCCTCCTGGATGCATGGAACCACTTCCAGCCCCGCCACCACTGTTACTGCCACTGCTGCTACTACTGCCAGGGGAGGAGGCAGTTAAGCCATCCAAAACTTTTCGGAAATTAAACTTCTTCATTTTAAAAACTGTTGAGAAATTCAAAGGAAAGGGTGACTTAACACATGGAATTATACGTGGGTAAAAGTGTTTAGCTTTTCATCAGTCATGGCAGTAGCCAGTCCGCATTTTACGAGCATTGGCTTTCAATGAGTAAAAAAAAAAGGAAAAAAATCAACCTTTGGTCAAATTTTAATTCTAAAATGCATATCCTTGAAAAAGAAAAAGAAAACACAACTCCAAAAGCACCAGTATTCCCTCCTCAGACACCAAATTTTCAAGGGCTTTATCCCCAGCTGTAGCTACGCTTTATCAGCACCGGGGTAAAAATAAAAGGCAGTGTCATCATCGTCATTAGCATTATATCATCATTATTATACAATCAAACCAGAGTCCATCAGACCAAGACTCTCTTTCTTAAAGGTGGGCTTTCCTCCTAAAGGTTGAGCTCAGTATTTTATTTTCAGAAAAATGGTGGTGGGGGAGAGCTCGTATTTATTCTGCCACCACCTTCTGGGCTTTCCCTCATCATCTTCAACGCTCCCTTTTTCTCAACAGGAAACGCGGGGTGGTGAGGGTGCCTTTTACCATTTCCACCCGGTACAGCCCGGACCCCAAAACACTTGCAGGTGACCCACAGCAACAGCCGACGGGAGGGGCCAGCAGCGGCGCCGACTGCCTCCGCTTCCCCCTCCGTCTCCCCCTTCCCTCCCCGAGTCTCTGCCCCCACCCCGCTGCTCTCACCCTCCACACCACCACCACCACCACCCCCGCCCCGCTCTGCCCGCAGCCGCCGCCTCGCTAGCCCGCCCGTCCGCTCTCCCCGCAGCACGTTGGTGGCTCTTGGGGGACATGAGGCAGTGGTGACGACGGTTGCGGCCCGAGTCCCGCCACAGCCTGCTGGGCAAGGAGAGCCGCCGCTCCCGCGGTCCCTCCCCGGGCCGAGCGCCTAGGCGCCGGGCTCTCGCCCGCGGGCGCGCTAACACGCAAACACCCTCACACAGACATTTGCGCGCCCAGCCAAAGCACACGCAAACACCCTCACGCAGACATACGCGCGCGGGCGCTCACGCGCACAGACACACACACAGGTGTGAGGAAGCCAAGGTTGGACGGCGGCGTCGGCGTCCCAGAGGGATGACTGACTCCCGACTTAGGCACCTTACTCAGCCGCTACTATCCGCCTGCCAGCCCGGAAAGCTGTGGGTGCGGAGGGATGCGGGCTCGCAGGCGTCGGTCCGGCCCGGCTTCGGCCGCTTCTCCAGTCCCTCTGGTAGCGGCGTCCGGCGCTCTCCGAGGTCCTACCGGAGCAGGCAGTCTCCACCGCAGGCTCCGCCCTCCCGCCGTGGGAGGCAAGCCCCGCCCCCAAACCACCCCCTCGCTCGCCCGCCCTTTCTCCCCTGGCTGCTAGGGGCCCGCGAAAGGGGCGGAGAGCTCCGGTACGTCAAAGGGCGGGAGTAGCCTCGGCTCCAATCCTAGGCTCCAAATAGCCAAGTTCCGCGGTGCGAGGCGCGGAAGAAATTTGTGGATAGGTCGAAAGAAGCGCCAATGAAAGGGGGAGGGGAAAATTTAGAAAGGCAGGTGAAGTATTTGATTGACAGCGGTATTGGCCACTATGCTGGGGGGCCGTGCTTTGTGGGCTGTAATTGGCGCTACCTGTTGAAGGACGCAAGTGTGAATCAATAGAATGCCAGGAAGCGTGAGAACTTGGGCTCCTTCAAGGCTACAGGAAGGGTTTCCCTAGGTCTGACTCTGGACAATATTGTGATTTGGGCAACTATTTTGCAGTTTACCACCTCTGAGCCTCTTCCCGCTCTCCAGGTGCATCTATGGGCTTCCCTCACTGCCGTGCTACTTGTATAATTGCTTAACAGGTCACATCTGCCAAATGGAATGTTATTGCAATAGAGTTTTGGAATATACAGCCTTTCAGATCCTGAGGAATGAATCGCTCACCTTGTTCCAATACGTAGACTTGTCCCTTCCTCCCATTTTCATATATACAAAAAAAATTTTTTAAGAAACATCTCTCTCACTTAGTAAGCCATGTCAAAAATATTTTTTAAGCTTTTTCTATGAGTCACTATAATCATTTTGAAAGATGCATGGGAAGATGTGGTTCTGAGTCCTAACTTGCTACTGAATTTGGGGAGTTTTGGACCTCGATTTCTTCATCTCCGAAAATGAAGGGCAGCTCAGGGGACCATAGCAAGCTGTAGACTACAATCTGGGCAATGCAACAGAGCTTATTAGTAATCATCCCATATATTCTTACATTTTAGCGATCTTCTAGGATAACCTCTTCTTTTTCTTTCTTTTCTTTTCTCTCTTTTTTTTTCCTTTGGAGGAAGGGAATGGAAGGGATGAGGGATGAAAGGGGAGACCTGAAAGAGAAATGAGTTGCCCAAGGTCACATAGCAAGGAAATGGCAGAGATAGAATAGAGCACAGTTTTTTTGGATCCTCAGCTCAATGCTCATGTTCTCTTTTTTATTTTTTTAGTACTATTTTACTCCTTTGGAGACCTCCCAAGGACCCCTCCAATACTGCTTAGTAGTCTCTTACTGCCACAGTTAGAAAGTAATGCTCTTGTAGTCAGACATGGTATTGTATATTTCTCCTATCTTATTCAGCACCTGACACAATGTTTCACACATAAGAGGTGCTTAAAGGGTTTTGAACAATTGGGTTATTGACAGTCATTAGTAAAAGATTTATGAGATGGCACCCAATTATATCTAGTTTTGGAGGGGTAAAAATAAGGGTGAAGCAAATGCCATGTCTGATATAAACCCATTTTAGTAGGGTTCCAAATTTTATATTGGATTCCTAACAATGTGTATCTGTCCTTACTCTCTTTTCCTTCTCTTCTTCCTGGCCCATTTCACCTCTAAGCATGGGTGCCTATTGAGGCTGAAGAGTTTGCTTTCCTCTTTTTTATGTCTTGCTTTTCTTTTAAAAAGGGGAGAGGGGAATTGCTTCAACTCTTTGAGAAGTAGGCATTGTGGTCTAAAATAATGGATTTAGATGCCCTCCTCTCCTTCATCAGAAAGTCTATTGGCAACTCCTTAATTTTCAAATAAAGGGAAACAAACCTATAGCAAGTGATCGTTTGGTCTTTTGATGAGAATGAAGAAAGAAGATATCCTAATTCAGCAAAGTGACAGGTAATGTTTGCAAGAAAACCCCCTAAGCTGCTAATCACTAACATTATACTATCTTAGCAAACTAAGTGGTGGTTTTATTCTAAATATTATGGGAGAACTGAGAATGAAAAAGCACACAAAACAGATTGACAAAGACTCTGCTTGAGGACCTGGAGGGAATTCATTGGCTTTCTTGAGTTAAAAAGAGGTGACAGGGCCTCCTTGGTGGCGCAGTGGTTGAGAGTCCGCCTGCCGATGCAAGGGACACGGGTTCGTGCCCTGGTCAGGGAAGATCCCACATGCCACGGAGCAGCTGGGCCCATGAGCCATGCCCCCTGAGCCTGCGTGTCCGGAGCCTGTGCTCCACAACGGGAGAGGACACAACAGTGAGAGGCCCACGTACCGCAAAAAAAAAAAAAAAAAAAAAAGAGGTGACAGAGTAGATATCTCTTCAGATGGGACAACAAATAGGAATGGGAAGTAGAAGAAAAGTCATCAGAATATATAAATGTTTTCAAACAAATATTAGAAGCCTAAAAAAATATGATTAGAATGAGACTGTGGACTCTTTGAGGCTATTCTAAATATTCTTCTTCCTCCACAGTAGATACATAACACAGTGTCTTATACATAGTAAGTGCTCAGTAAATATTAATTTGAATAAATTATAGCAAGTAAAAATCTTCACATAATTGCAGTCTCACAGAGAGAGAGAGAGAGAGAGACACTGGGGACAAAGGATATTATGATGCCAGTTTACAAACTGTGAGCAAAAGATAGAAATGAGCAAGAGATAGGGTGAATTATGTACATGAGGAGACAGCATAAACATTTATAGCCTAAAATTCTTACCAGGTAAGAGAAGCATAGTGAAATATCTATGGAAGCAAATTCCATTCTTAATTAATTAAAGAGAAATAAGATGTTATTCTATAAACCATCTGGTAAAGGGAATGAGACCAGACTATGAAATATACCTTATAAATAATATAGAGAACTTTAGAATTGAGTCAGATACTGAAATTGTAGAACTATGTTCTTTCTACTGCAAACTAGAATACCTCATGGAGTGGAGTTTCTGATAAGCCGTGATGTTTTCCTAAAATGAAAAGTTTGAAGAACTTCAAGAAAGAAAAATAGCCTAACTTGGTCCTTGGAGAAAAGTTATCAGATTATCTAAACAAGTCTAATACATTAGAAGGATTTTTCGGATATATGTTTAAAATATATTACAGGGCTTCCCTGGTGGCACAGTGGTTGAGAGTCCGCCTGCCGATGCAGGAGACACGGGTTCGTGCCCCGGTCCGGGAGGATCCCACATGCCGCGGAGCGGCTGGGCCCGTGAGCCATGGCCGCTGAGCCTGCACGTCCGGAGCCTGTGCTCCACCACGGGAGAGGCCACAGCAGTGAGAGGCCCGTGTACCACAAAAAAAAAAAAAGAAAAAAAGAAAATATATTACAACTCACTTCATGGGTTTGTGATCTTGGCTTCAAGCCAACAAGGAAGCTAACAGATGCTGCTTTTCCACACCCCAAAAATAATCAAATAATCATAGAAAGTATGTATGTGTGTGGCACTTCATAAAGAGAAGATTTACTAAACTGACCAGGCTTGGAGAAAAAACTAAGCCAAATTGACAAAACGCAGTCAAATGGTCCATCATACATAAAGTTGATAAATTCTACCACTTATTTAGCACCTGTATGCCAGACAGTATACTATGAAATTTATAAACATCTTTTTAAACTTCATCCTTACTATAACTCTATGAGATAGGTATTATCCCCATTTCACACGTGAAGAAATTTGTGACTCAAAAACATTTGAGAAGTTCACCTGAGTTCACTTATGTATATAACCCAGTCTTCAAATTCAAGGCTAACTTCTAAGATTATGCTCTTAATCACTGCCCTATCACTAAGTAGAGGATTAAATAAAAACAGGAACAGGAGAAGTGTGGGGGTCAATTCCTCTGAAATAGTGAATATATGTGTACTAGTTTGCTAGGGCTGCCATAACAAAATACTACAGACTGGGTGGCTTAAAACACAGAAACTAAGTATCTCACAGTTCTGTAGGCTAGAAGTCCGAGAACAAAGTGTCAGCAGGGTTGGTTTCTTCTGAGGCCTCTGTCCTTGGCTTGTATATTACTTCCTTCTTACTGTATCCTCACATGGTCTTTCTTCTGTGGTGTGCATCACTGGTGTCTCTGTGTGTCCAAATTTTCTTCTATAAGGACACCATTCAGATTGGATTAAGGCCCACCCTAATGGTCTCATTTTAACTTACTCTCTTAAATGCCCTATCTCCAAATACAGTCACATTCTGAGGCACTGGGTGTTAGGGCTTCAAATAAGAATTTGGGGGTAGGAGGGACACAATTCAGCCCATAATAATGTGGCAATCAAATTCAAGGTTCTTTGAGGAGAGCATCTATTATGACCTGGGACTGTGTAAACAATTTTACATTTCATTTCTTATTTAATTCTCACACAGTCATGTATCGTAGCTATTGATAACTCTATTTTACAGGTGAGAAAATGGAAGCAAAGAAGGGTTAAGTAGTATGTCCAATATCATACATTTAGTAGGTTGTGAAATAGGAATTTGGACTCCTATAAATCATACCTCAAAGCTCTTTCCTCATGCTGTTAGCTTTCTTTAGAGAAAAAAAAGAAATCCCATTATATAGATATTTGATATCAGAAAAGGATATTATTATAGAATATAAATATTAGGATAAAACAGACAGAAGAGATAAAAGAAAGGAAAAATATATGCTAAGGAGTTTGGATACTAGACCTAAAAAGACATTTGAGAGTTGGCGGGGGAGTGAGAACTAGCAGCAGAGAACATTTGGGATGGCAAGATAATAGGAAGTCTTATCTCACAATAAATCTCAGTATAATTTGAAGTATATTAAGAGTCCCAGGGGAGTATTCCCACCAAAGAAAATCAGTTATTCTGTAACTAATTAGACATTGCTCAGAGAGGCCATAGTCTCAGAAATATCATAACAGCTGGATGATGACGCAAGACTTACCATAAGGCCAGGCTGGGAATTATTTACATTAGCAAGTGTGAACGTTTCCAATCTGCTTACTAGAGATACTGGCTTTTGGACTGAGCAACTTAACT